TAATGACGGAGGTACCTATCTTTAGCTGGCGTTGTGATGCGTGGACGTCCACTTTTTGGTGTGTCTACGGTGATCCCAGTCTGTCTGAAGCCCTGAATAAGTCTTATGACCGTGATACGGTGGCATCCGTGGGCTTTGGCAACAACATTGTATGTCGACCCCATCTGCACCATCCCAATGGCTCTTTCTTTCAATTCAGCTGTTAATCGTGGCATATTTCTCGTACTTGTGTATCAGATCATGTCTTCTAGGCTCTCTTCATACCCTATAGAATCATTCTGCATGTGAAATGGATGTAAATACTGTTTGAATATTGCTGCGTTTTGGCGATTGACATTGCTATGTGTAAAATGGAAATATGTTACTTTGCAAGCAAAAATGTTAGCAAAGATAATTGTAGATGTTCCTAAACATTATTTCACAATATCAAAGACACGTTTTACTTGTTTTCACTAATGCAAATCAGCACAAAATGTTTTAAAAGAATGAAATCATAGCAATGATTATTTTACAATTTTACACACTCTACAACAGTTGTTTCTTGTTTTAATAGTTGAAAAATGGGGACTTTAAATGGTTTATCATTGTCCCAAAGCAGAATTTTATGTCAACCTTTCTTTTGGACATCAAAATCTCTATTATTGGTTTATTTCGGCATGGACGAATATAGGACAATGTAACTCTTCTGAAAAAGATGCATTTCACCCAAATAAGAATGCATTTAAGAAAACCAAAACCTTCTAAAATATCTTTGATAGTTTTTCAGTAATTCATAAAGGTAGGAGGGTAACGTTTCTTTTGGCATCTAGTGTACATTGTGTGAAGGCAATTTTCTGATGTCCCCCACCATGATATTGCTAAAAGCGGCATAAGGGACCGTTCATAATTTATGACTCCCCAACATCCCCAGAACAAAATGGGCGACCCCCCATTAAAATCATCATCAAACACACACACACACACACACACACCACAGCCATAAATTTAATTATGAGTGTGTGAGTGAGTGAGTTCAGTTTTACGCCGCACTCAGCATTATTCCAGCTATATGGCGGCGGTCTGTAATTAATCGAGTCTGGCTCAGACAATCCAGTGATCAGCAGCCTGAGCAATTGATCTACGCAACTGGGAACTGGCAACAGTGAGCCTGCCATAAATTATGAATGGTCCCTATAACGAAACTCATTCATTCGTTTTAATGACCTTTGCGGTATCCTGTCTCACAAATGATTATGTGCATAGGTGCAGAAACAGTAATACAAGCTTGTGGGGGATCGGACAGAAACACGACTCCACGACAGTTATATGAACTAAATCTGTGATTTTCGAAAATACTCAAAGTGCTTGAATAGAATATTTTAACTTCAAACTATCTGGGCACACGTATATCAGAGCGAGTGAGTGAGTGAGTATCGTTTTACGCCGCTTTTAGCAATATTCCAGCAATATCACGGCGGGGGACACCAGAAACGGGCTCCACACATTGTACCCATGTGGGGAATCGAACCCAGGTCTCCAGCGAGTGAGTGATTGAGTTTACGATTATAGTCATATCGGCAGTATATCAGCCGTGACTAGACTGACTGACTGAGTTTAGTTTTACGCCGCTTTTAGCAGTATTCCAGCAATATTACGGCGGGGGACACCAGAAACGGGCTCCACACATTGTGCCCATGTGGGGAATCGAACCCGGGTCTTCGGCGTGACGAGCCAACGCTTTAACCGCTGGGCTACCCCACCGCCCACGTGACTAGAACTAGATACAAATTCATAAAAAATACAGTAAAATTAGAAATATTGTCGACGAAACCAACTAGGATATCACAGAAACAAGAATTGAAACTAGCATCTATCTCTAAAATTGTATTTTCATCACGACAATACAATATAAAACAAGCTGAATATCGTCAGAAAACTGAAGGCGGACCATGGGGACTTACCCCAGGTCTCCAGCGTGACGAACCGATGCTTTAATCATTAGTACCCCACCACCCCACGTATATCAGAATCGTAATATACAGACCTAAACAATTGAACAGCATAACACAACAGTGCTATAATATTATGCAACAAAAACACTATGACGTAACGCTATTATATGCCTGAGCACAATACACGTGTAAAACAGCGATATTATATCGTGATCCTGATCGGGGGTATTCATGTATGAACAGTACAGTACTGTTGACCATGGCCTACTTTCGGCGAGCTGTTTGGCTTGGATCAAAAATAAGGACACTGAATAAATGAACTTACCATACCGTATTTCCTCCATTAGTCGGTGTTTCAACGGCCATAAAATAGACGGGCTTGTGGCCATCACATTGTGAAATTGACAATCACATTAACCGAAGGTATGTTATGATTATTCTTTTCTAGGGCTGGCTAAAATGATCGATAATCGGAAATATCGTTCCAAAAATATTTATGATTATCAATATAAAAATTGTGTTATTGATAACATCGTACTTTAACTTTTAAGATTGAAAATGTTTTGATATTCTCACACAATATGCAATGGTAGGACTACATTCGTGGCCTGCTTCTAAATTATGTTCAAGACGATGTTAAGTTAATAATCCATGCAGAAACATATCACCGATCACCAGTGATGTATCACTGGATTGTCCGGTCCAGACTCGATTATTTACAGACCGCCGCCATCTAGCTGGAATATTGCTGAGTGGGGCGTAAAACTAAACTCACTCACTCACCAGTGATGTGAAATATATTTATTTATTTCAGATATTTTTGGCGATTTTGCTCCAAGTTACGTCTTCGATATTTATCGATAATCGATAGATATTCAGTTAACGGTTATCGATGTCTATCATATATAGCCAGCCCTATTCTTCACCCTCTAATAATCGCTATTTCCAACAAAAGTACTCTGACTGCAATTTGGGATTCGGTTGGACGGTGGGTTGTCATCGCGTCAGCATCAAACAGAGTGAGTGAGTTTACTTTTACGCAGCATTCAGCACTATTCCAGCTATGTGGCGGGCGTTGAATGGAATCAGAATTGACAATGGGCCTCTAACCGGGTAAACGACTAGCGCTGAATTGATAGAGCAAATACGGTATGCAATCTTATCTGAGGTGTATTTTGGGACGGTTGGTAGTGACCTAAAGCAGTAACAATAAAAAATGACAGAATCCTAGTTTACTGTATACGAACCATCTAAAACGCAGGTCGAGAAGGGTTTTACTTGTTTTGGTCGGGCCTGTTAAAATAATATTCTTAAAAACTTATCCCCCAGCACCCATATAGCTCCTTTCACAACTAATGTGTTTATTGTTTCGCTTTAAGAAACTGTTTCTACTCAAATCTCGTTTTGAGTTTTTGGGGCGGTGGGGTAGCCTATAGTGGTTAAAGCGTCACGCCGAAGACCCGGGTTCGAATCCCCACATGGGTACAATGTGTGAAGCGCATTTCTGGTGTCCCCCGCCGTGATGTTGCTGGAATATTGCTAAAAGCGGCGTAAAACCATACTCAGTCAGTCAGTCAGTCAGTTTTGAGTTTTTGGTTACACGAACCTAATGGGGTGGGTCAAAAGAGGTCACGTGGTACAATAGAAATCACATTTACTGCAATAGACTTGTAATCATGAGTTCACATTGTGCTTGTTTTGTAACCTGTTACAGAATTTTTAAAAAGTGAAAGACATCCCCCTTCATACCAAGTTGTTGAATAACGTAATGAGATACACCAATACATACATTAAAAAAGTTAAACTTATATCTTGTCAATGCAAATAGTCCGAAAATGCAATCCGTTGATAACACAGAGGTATTATCATGTGCGTTACATCACGCCCAAACCCGTGAAGATAAGGGTTAGAAGTTTTCAACAACCCTTCCTTTGTAAGGGGCGCGGTGGGATAGCCTAGTGGTTAAAGACGCCGATGACCCTGGTTTGATTCCCCAGATAGGAAGAAGAAGAAGAAATATAGTTTATCAATGTGTCACATGCTGCAGTTCATTAAAAAAGACGTTACATTATTGCAGGGGTTTAAAAGCAGCATCCGGCCATATGGCCTATGAAACACAGATAGGTACATTTCCGGTGTCCCCCGCCGAGATATTGTTGGAATATTGCTAAACGCGGCGTAAAACGATACTCACTCACACTCCCTGTAAGGCGTTAATAGACAAGTAAACAGCTATCTCATGCCTAAAGTGACACGTGTTGTTGACAGCCTTTGTAAAACCCACTAGCACGGGCAGACAAACGCAGTGATTATGAAATTGAACCCATGGTTATGCAACGGATCCTAGTACGGTCAAGGGACACAATATGCGAATGAGCATATGTAATTTCAGTTACATCACGCCGTTTCAGTTTGATGTGGGAGGGCTTGTTCCTAAACACACACACACACCCAAAAAACAACAACAAAACACAAAGGCAAACAACAACAACAACAAAAAAGGAAATAAAAATTACAAAACAAAAACAAAACAAAAAACAAAAAAACCCAAGAAGCATACAAAACAAACAAACTGGCATCAGGATACATACTGTCACTATTCCTGTAAGTGCTAAGACCCCGTCAGTGACAGTATAATATTATCTTGATGGCATGTAGATCACTGCTGATCTATAAAAAAAATACAGCAATAAGGATATTGAGATTGTTTTAATCATTAAATACATATATACAATCAAATCACACAAAACAGACATAAAACAGAAGAATAATATAAATTCAGGGGATGACGTCTTTTCAAATTCTTCATAATATATCGTACAAACGTAATTATATTTTGAAACCTTATTTGAAATATTTCATCTCTTCAACTTCGAAACGTTTTTATTCAATACACTGATGCGGTCAAACGTGGTATTGCCCGACAAGAAAACACCAAGAAATAATATCGTTATAATATTGTTGTTGCGTTTTTAGGCCACCATTCAAAATGTAAACAAAGTCGCGTGCTCAGGACAGCAGCTGCAAGAAATTCGCGCCCTTTGATGTCATGCGGCACTGAAATTTGATTGGCTGATCGAGCACTTCCCTTCCGTCAGCGGTCACGTGGATGACTAGAAGATCGTCCATTAACGAAGGTGAGAGATGGGTTTGTTTTTGTTCCTTCTGTCTGGAAGTACTGACTTGTCAAATGTATCTGAGAATTTTACTTCACAGAAATCTATTCCATAAGTTATTACCTCCAATTAGTTCCATTTTTGAGCGTTTGCCTTGTCGGGAAATCAACGCAGGCATCCAATACTGAATTTCATCGCTGACGCGTAAGGTCTAATATCGTTGGTAATTTATGCCTCGTTTCATTGTGGAATCCATCTATGGCATCCTATTTTGCTAGCATATAATTGGGATAAAAAATATCAACGCATATGGTCCATGTTATTGTGTGTGAACGGGTTAGGAATGAAGAAAGGTGTCATACAATGTAATTCCCTGATGAAATTATACATTGGCCGAGTTGGCTTGCGTTGAATGAGGCTGAATGCGCCAGCTGATCGTGGTCGGGGTCGTTCTCTTGGTAGACGTATTTTGACGATGTCTCTGGTTGATAGACATCGATTGATGGGTAACATTTCCGTTTAAATAGACATTTGGGATAGTTCAGTTATCGGGTCAACACTTGTCAATTTCACACAATTGGGCAGTATAGAAATCTGACCTGTAGAATAATGTATATTTCCATACAGCTGATTGTGGTCATGTGACCCCCAAACACAAAGAGACAATGGAATGAATAAGGCCTGCTTATCATGAACTTAAGCTAAGAAAACCTTAACAGATTATACATCTAGACCCAGAAAATGACACTATCCCTACAGCTTGAGGCTAGTGTTAATTAATTAGGACTAGATGATTTCAGTGGCACAATATCCTGATAATCTTGCAAGTAAAATCTCACATTAGATATGATTGTACAATCCGTTCACCATTATTATCATAACAACTACCAGTACCGGTTGATATATCTCAAGAATGGATATTAAGTATAGGAAAAAGATGTTCATGCAAACCTCATTCGTTTGGTAGGTTAAGAAGACACTGGTTCGATTCCCCATATGGGTACAATGCGTGAAGCCCATTTCTGGTGTCCCCCCCCACTGTGATATTGCGGGAATATTGCTAAAAGCGGGTAAAACTAAACTCACTCACTTTTAGGGCTGACACTGACAGCTCAAACCTTAGCTTCAAACTTCAACATGTGGCTTCATGTTCATGGCTGGTATATGAACTGGACCAACATGTGACCCATGTAATCATGGAATGTCTATGGAAAAATTCCCAATTAGAACAAGTAAGAGAATTAGGATTCCAGAGTTTGAATTTATTTCCATTTTGCCAGCAAATCTTTGATAAATCCCAGTCAACTGACCAGACATTTTACAAGGCATGTTTTAGAGCAGTCATGGTTGTTGATGTAGCCAAATGGTTCAAGCGCTTGCTCAGATCCTGACAGAGAGTGTTCGATTCCCTACATGGGTACAATACGTGATGCCCAATTTGTGTTTCCCTTGTTGTGAGGTCTCAGAATAGGTACATATTGTGATCTTATTTTAAAGCCTGGTAGGCCAAACACACAAAGTACTGAGCTGTCTTTAACTGTTAAGAAAACAGTGAATGATGGGTAGCTGTCAGTTGGATGAAGGTCAGTCTGACTGTGCTGACCTCCCTAGATGTATGTCAAAATACTAACCTCTGTTTTATTTAACCTCTGTTTTAGTGGTGAAGCGATATGGCAATATAGTATTGCATCGCGTCACAAGGCTCGTGATATGATACACAGATTTACAACTTGTGTATCAAAATACATACAATTCATTTCATTACAAGTTAAACTGATGTAGAAAATGTGAATATTAACAGAAAGTGTTCAAGATTTCTGTATTTCCTATTTGGCTATAAATATCAGAATCTTCACTATGCCCCGCCTCTGATATGTTTGTCTTTACAATATCAGATCTTCGATATCTGAGAGTTTAGAACATTTAGGGTTGTGATTCATCTGCGAAAAATGAAAGAATATGAACTTCAGATATGAAAGTACTGTATTAGAATACGAATCGTATCACACCCTTATTATTTGAATACATATTGCATCGAGGCCTCACAGTATGGTTACACCTCGACCTTACTCCTTCCTTGTTTACATCGACATCGATCCATTTGGTTTCTTCATTATCTAGTTATGTTAGTACAATAATCCTGTTGATCTTTTTCTGTGTGAAGATGATATCTTTGTGTATAAATCAGTTTGTAGATATGACATTATATCTTCTTCTCCAAACACTTTACCTAAATTGAAATGGTTTAAATTTGTCAAACAGCTCTTAGATGATTGTCGACTCTCAGAAATGTATGATTACCCGTTCCTATGTTCATCAGAATTTTTGGTTTCATCAGTAGAAACAATACTCAAAGATCAATATTTACAACAATGGCGATGTGAACTAGCGTCTAGTTCGAAAGGAAAATTTTACCAAAATTTTAAAGACAATCTATGCTTTGAAAACTACCTCTTCCTTCCCAAATCTATACATAATCCAATTCTTAGATTCAAGTTATCAAATCACAATTTACCGATAGAAACAGGACGCTGGAACAACATTCTTAGAGAAAATAGACTTTGTAAACTTTGCGATTCTCCGTCTGTTGGGGATGAATTCCATTACCTTTTAAATGCGAAGCTCTTCTCCAACAGCGGATAATGTATATTCCAAATTATTACTACGAATGGCCTAATCTGTCAAACTTAAACGGCTATTTTCAATAAAGAAAACAAAGCATTTGAAAAACCTAGCTAAATTTTTAAATGCCTTGTCAAATGCCCTGAAATCGTAAATGAATTGTGATAATAATACTCTATCTAAGTATTCTATTATCCGCCATCTTGATGGTATATTTATGTTAAATTGTATATCATTATATTCTCATGTACCACCATGGGTGGGTTTTTAGAGAATTAAATGTTCTGTTCTGTTCTGACAAAGCAGTATTCACAATAGCAAGCCAGTATTCACCATAATAGTGAGTGAGTTTAGTTTTACGCTGCACTCATCAGTATTCCAGATATATGACAGCAGTCTGTAAATAATTGAGTCTGGACCAGACAATCTAGTGATCAACAGCATGAGCATCGATCTGCGTAATTGGGAACCGATGACGTGTCAACCAAGTCAGCGAGCCTGACCACCCGATCCCGTTAGTCACCTCTTGCGACAAGCGTGGGTTACTGAAGATCTTCACGGGTTTCACCGCAATAACACTGAATATTGTGAAAATTAATGAATTGGGTGTGTCAGTGCTGGGAATTCACATATTTAAGCCCTGGGCTCAATAGTGACAAATGACCCTTTGGTTATCAAATTATGTAACCATTATTAGGCCCAGGGCTTGATTTGGATGGACTTATTGAATGGATTGGATATGGTACAATTTTTCTTGACCTTGCCACAAATGTACAATTTTGGATCTACCGTGATTGGGTAATTTCATGAAGTCCTTTTAGCTGCCAACAAAGGCAAAACCTGCAGGTCCTTCAAGACAACATTGTGGAAGATGTGAGTGAGTGAGTATAGTTTTACGCCACTCTCAGCAATATTCCAGGTATATGGCGGCGCTCTGTAAATAATCCAAATGTTTGGATTGCATTATGGTATACCGAACCGAAGGCAAAATGCTGCTGTTCTACTAAAACCGCGGTGTACCGTTTCACCCCTAACGACTATCGTAAACTGGAATGTCATGAAAATTGTGCCTGCAGAAAATGTCCAATCACAATGTTTTCCAACTTGAAGGAAAACAGTGAGTCGTAGGGATGCCACGATACATCAATACTTTTTGTAAGATGATCCAATTAATGTATAGTTTTGAAAGTATCGGTTTAAATATGTTAATGTATCATTTACATTTTGCAATTGTGTCATGTTTGTTGATGTTATAATAGCTATAAATCATTATTTTTCATGCATAAAGATTGGAAATTAGAACTTTTTAATCTTTGAGAATAAAAAATGTTGATCTTTTCATGGACAATTATAAAATATGAAATATTAATGTTCAAAATGTAACTAAATTTATATGCAATTATGCCACGAAAATAGGTATCGTGATACGTATCGAATCGTGACATGGGTATCATGATACGTATCAATTCATGAAACTTATGTATCGTGACATCCCTAGTGACTTGTATGCATTTAAGTGGTGTTTCTGTATCGTCGATCCCCAGACTGCACTACAGACGTTAGTGAAAATATGCTTTTACCAAGGGACATCAATCTCAACAATAAAAAAAAAGATCTGAATTTAGGCCTATGGGCCTAAAAATGGGGAAAAATCCTGATTATATTCCCATAGCTGTCCTTCCTGGATTCCGCAATTCTTCGGTTGCAGAATAAATCACGGAAATTACCTTTTGATGCAGAAAAACGTATGGTTTCGCGGAAAACGCATTTTCATGCAGAATACCTGCAGAATTTGCCATTTTGCTGCTGCGGAATTTACTTATTTTGAAAGTTGAATCAAGATTGACTATCAACCGACCGAAATGAAAAGTAGGGGTAAATGTCAAAAGTATGATTGGTTACACAAAAATGGACTGAGACATATGTTCTCAAATTGATCTTTTTGATGATTGAAATTGCATTATTTTGTGGGTTTTTTTGGTCAAGTTTTTAACTGCAGAATTTTGAAAAATCGGATGCTGAATTAACTTCAATTTGCTGTGGAATTCTTAAAAATTCATCGCGGAATCCAGGAGGGACTGCCATAGGCTTAACATGCTTAAATACAGAATATCCTGGTAACAACAGATGTGTTGGCATATAACTATATATACTATGTTCACTGAAATGTTTTGTGAAACTGTGTAAAGTATATCAGTAGTATATTGATAGTGATAATCACTGTTGTCATTCTGTTAAATATACACTTGACGTATGAGAATAATTTTTGTTATCATGCAAAGATGAAAGAATCCCTATCCAATATTATGTTGTAGAATTTTCTGTGTACAATATGTTTATAATATACAGTTCAAACTAAAATATGATTCAAACTCTAACAATTGCCCACAAATCCCTGA